TTACCGTAACGTTGTACTGTGCTGCCCAAGTCTGAATCTCATTTTTCTGCTCCGCGATCGTGAGACTCATATTAGTTACTATGTAATAGTACTCCTGGCGGCCTGTTTCGTTGACATCTTTGAGAAACGATGGTGGTGGAGGTGTTCTCATGTAGCCCCAACGGCGGTAGCGACAATGCACTAGACTGACTATGGCAAGGACTACAAAGGCGATTTTCATCCTGGAGCTGTTATATATTTCTGAAAATACTTGGATGGCATTCGTTCTTATCAAAAGCTTTTGCCAAATGATCGGAGTCGTTCGGACTCCTAAAGCTTTGGGAGGGGGCAAACAACAGCAGACCCCTACTCCATTGCTGCTGTTTGCTCTCCTCCCCCTCCCAAAGGTGAGGAGGTTCAAGTGACTACAGAGTGGAAGGTGAGAGACTTGAGAGAAACCAAGAGACCTTCATAGGAAAAAAGAGAAAATAGAAAGTGGGACCCAAGAAATATCTTCGAGCGTCAAATTCGCGTGCCAAACCAAAGTATAGCCGTACTTATATCCCTTTTTGGCTGTTGGATTGGACTGCGCTTGGTCCGCCCTAGTGATTCATACTTACAAATTATCCTCTTATTTTTGGTTAGCCTCATAATACAAGTTAAATTCGCAGTACAATGTTATTAAATGTCATAGGACCGGAATATTTGATGCTGATCGGGCCAGTGTTCCGAGCTTGGCTAATTGGTTCCAGACTCTGCTGCCATAAATCTCTTACCGCCATCTCTTATTTGGAGATTACATATATAGCTCTCTGCATTGTTGGATACCCTTCTGTGAAGCGCGTTAGTTAAGCCATTTTCCTGCCGAGTACGTTTCGCGCTCATTACCTACCGCCCCATTAGGCAGCGCCGTCAAACTACTATCACTATGGTCTACCGGAGCTGCCTACCCTTCCTCCCCCTACTGCCTGAGGGGAGGGCACATATTTGGGGAAAGTTGGAGATTATCATTTGGTTGGAAGGGCGATCTGCCGGAGGAGAAAACACAGGAGAAAAGCTGGCGAAGGGTGGCCGGGACGTGTCGTGCTATCAACAGCCACTTATCCCTTCCCGCATCGACAAACTTGACTGGACAACTGCTCCTTAACGCGCCTTCCAGAAGTTACAAAAATGTTGAGTTGAGAGAAAAGTTTCGATGCTAAACGGGATCCGAACCTGCCCCTCCTGCTTTCCGAGTGAACCTCATCAAATTCAGCAGAAAGGTGGGCTGTTGTAAGGCTGCTGCAAAAAACATCAAACGCGTGCCACACCATCCCTAATGGTGGTGGTGGGGCTCACAAACGACTGACAAAATGGTACTCAAATCGATAACGAACAAAAGAGCAGAAAAACCGCTCAATGTGCTTACCGTAGAACTCCTGGTGACGTAAACTAACGCGAATTTTTTGCCCCGACGGCAACCCATGGATACGGTAATGCAACTACGAAAGTCGCCACGCCATCCGCCGAGTGCGACGCGAGCGGCGACAAAGTACTACCTCGTGATAGGATCACTCGTCTCCCAATAGCTGTCAGGAACGAAACTAAGCCAACTCTCGGAGCCCAAAGCACCTTTTCGAGTCATGGAAGTGGTACATTTTCGTGTTTGTTGACCCGGCTACCTTGACCAAGAGGGGTCACTCGAGATTGATTGAACGCGGAACGTGCTTCTACGTTAAGGGTAGGAGACTGCTTCGCTGGTGAAAGGGATAGCACACTCGCCCGGCAAGTGTGAGGAGCTGGTTCTGGTTCTAACCCCTCTGTGTTCTGTTCTTTCGGCCATAATCAACATGCTTGTACTAGCTGTTCCTTAGATTTTTATACATTTTTAACTTCCATATATGCACACCGTTGCCACATAGCGCATAGCGATTGGTTCTCTACCGAAGACACAGCTCCGCCCATCACCTTCTACACGCATGGATAAGCCGCGCTGTTTTTACGGTGTTCATGATTACTCGCCCTTTTTAAATGCGATTTTGGCCTTCATACCAAGGCCGTCCTCACACGAACCCGCTCTTGGGTGAATCTCGGATAACTGCATGACTTTTTGTGCTGAAATCCATGCAAGCGATGCCACTTTCTCGACAGTGGTGGAGGGGGGACGGGCTACGTTCAAAGAATGGATAGCCCCGCCACTCCACATTCTCCTGATTTTTTATCATTTTAAAGACTGAGAGCGTAGTATTATTGAAAATACATTGTCTTTCAAGAATGAACACCGTGGTTGTGGTTCTAGCTATAGCGGGTGTAGTGCAGTGCAGAAGCAATCGTCACAGCTGCTTCAATGAACCGCCACGACCACCGTATCTCGACATCGTGAGAGGAAAAGCCCGCACGACCTTCTACAATATTATGCGTAATATGAACCTCACCATGGCTCAGCAGAAGGAGAAGGATCTGCAATGGCCCTCGTATTATGACGTCAAGGTGGGTGTTTGGAAAACGTTATCAAAGGTGAAAGAGAGGTTGATTCTCCCTGGGAGGGTAGTAGAAGTGGCAGACGTTGTAAGTAGTGTGGGCTCAAGGAGTACTGCTCACATGCGAGGTCCGAGGAATAAATCTCCGCCCGAGGCTCTGTTGGCCTCGGAGGGGGCATGTAGCACTTTCGCTGGTCCCCTTTGCTAAGTTTCCTTTCATATTAACTAACAGGGCTTACATTGTTGAGACTTGTAAAGTCTTGTGAAGCTACGAATTGGTGCAATCAAGCCAATTTGTACAGGAATTTCTAGGTTTTTACAAGACGGCGTGTATGATTTTCATTGAGTACAACGAGGTGCTGCCACCATGCCGAACTGCGCCCGTCTAGACTCTCCCACTATCCGGCCATGCCTTCTGGGCATACGGTACTGAACGTGCCTGAGAGATTCAGAGCAGCGATTTGTATATTGACTTAATCCCACGAGTCATTTTGTAGCGATCGCATTTGAAGTGCTACTGCGGTTCTGAATGGAGGTGAGCACCCATGGGCCTGATGGGGGGGGGGGAGAGGGGAAGGGGGAAGGGGGGAACGGGGATGACTTTCTTTGCTGGTTACCATCAGACAAACCGATGACATGCCCGTGAAGCCACCTGTGAATCTCGTAGAGTCTATGTTAACAAAGAAATTACATCCTACAAACCTTATTGACAGGAAGACATGTTAAGCCGACCAAAATCTAGATAAAAGTTTTGCGTGAGTGATGACTTCAATCCCATAGGTTGTTTGGACCGCTGCCCGTCTGTAGAACAAGCTTGTCCTCACCTAGTGCCGCGCTGAGGCCCCGGTCTATGATTGGAGGAGAAACGTTCACAGAATCGTTCCCGGGGACAAGCGTCGCCGCGCGCGCGCGGATGGGACTCAGCACTTACTTACGTGCATTGCCTTAGCCGTAACGTCTTCGAGCGGAGGTGCAAAGATATGATTACTACCGCGCGCACAAGCCGCACCCGCATTCAGCAAGGTTCTTCATCACCAGACTGAAATCAAGTGATGTTTTTTCTTAAGAGTGAAGGAGAGCGAGCGCATTGGGTTGGGCTGTTTGGCGGTTCCATAAACGCAACTTCAGGAAATAAACAGATACAAAAGAAATCAGATAAGGCCGTGATTCTCCCTATGTTTATGTGGTTCACATGATTTGCGCAGTCGCCAGCGTCAATATAATAGACGGATGGCCAAGTTTTTCTGTGAGCTGCTGTAAAAGATGACAAACCAGAGCAAATGTTAAAGACCCCAATGAATTTCGTGCTCTATTGAACTTTTTCATACTCTAACTGAAAACTTAACCGTAACTGAACACAAGACTCGATCCTGGGTGATATCAATATTTACCTTCCCTTCAATAACCTATTCCCCTATTCAAACCGCCAGAAGCACGCTTCGTCTTCTCGCCGCAAGTATGTCGCAGGCCACGTACACCAGCTGCCCGGCACGATTCTGTTGCTACACACCCAAGACTGGATCGCATGGCTTAAAATAAAGACTTCCTCATCGAGGGGATCCTGCTCCAGGCAGGCGCGTTTCAGTAAGGAAGACACAATCTTTACCATCCGTCTATAGCATCAGCATGGACTGTGCTTTTAGGCCGCCTGAGACAATAAGGGAAGCTTAGAACTTTTGACTTCAAATGTCTTCATTGCTCAGAGTTAAAGGCAAAACACTTATGATAATTCGCAATTATCAGATTTATTTGATGTTGTCCTATGTTGCGATAGCAAAATCGTGGTGTAAGGAGGTTAGCTAGCATACGTTGAGCAAGCCTTGTAGCCGACTCCTGCAAATAGAACGGTAACTCATTTCGTCAGTTCACTTTTCCGAATTCGCTGAACTTCCAATGGCTTCGTCATACCTTGA